ATTAAACAAATTAACAAGTGATGGCGATGCCCTGGAGAAATTGCAACCCCTGCGCACTTGTGGAGGGAATGTAAAATGGAGGAGCCGCTGTGGAAAACGATACGAAAGCTCTTCAGAAAGTTCAACCTGGAACTACCCTATGATCCAACATCCCATTCTGGATGTACATGTAAAAGGATTGAGAGCCGCCTGGCTGGCTTAGTTGGGGAGAATATGCAACTCTTGAAATTGGGGCTGTGAGTTCAAGTCCCGCACTGGGCATGGAGCCCAAATAAATAAATAAATAAATAAATTGCAAGCAGGGTCCTGATAAGATATTTGAACAGCCATATTCATAGCAGCATTAGTCACATAATGGTTGCCAAAAAGTGGAAGCAACCCAAGTGTCCATCGATCGATGGGTAAAATATGATGGATGCCTACCATGGAATATTATTCAGCCTTCAAGGGGAGGAAATTCTGATACATACTGTTACATCTACAATATGGATGAACCTTGAGGGTATTAAGTGAAGTAAGCTGGCCACAAAGGGGTAAATACCACACGACTCCACTTATACGAAATACCCGGAGTAGTCAGACTCAGAAACAGAAAATAGACTGGTGGGTGCCAGGGGCTGAGGGAAGGGGGGAAATGGGAGGTGGTTGCTTAACGGGCATAGAGCTTCAGCTGTGCAAAATGAAACACTTCTGGTGATGGTTCGCACAACGATATGTTAAGAATATGTGAATATGCTTACGACGATTGAACTGTGCTCTTAAAAATGGTTAAGACGATAAATTTTACGTTAACGTGTATTTAACCGCAATGAAAAGTAAGTTAATAAAAATAAATTTCCTCTGTCTCATAAACGTCACCACATGTTATCTGACAGAGCCCCTTAGAAGTCACGTTGTATATAGTTAATGTTTACTCTCTATGTAATGTTTTAAATCATCATGAATACCGCATCATGTTTCACACTCCCTTTTTAAAACACATGCACTCTCTCTGTGATTCTATGTTGTGTAGAGGTTTTGAAATGAGAAAAATATAGCGATAGCAAACATCCGTGGTTGCAGGGGTTAGGGGTGGGGTCGGGGGTGGGGGGACAACTCTGGAGTGAAGCAGTTCTGTACCCTGACTGTAGTATGGTTATAGGGAGATACAGATCAGATTTCAATATCCACCCTCCCCCCCCCCAAAAAAAATTAGCACATGGAAAACCTAGGGAAATCCAGGTCAGGCCTGTAGTTTATAATATTGCACCAATGTCAATGTCCTGGTTTTGATCACTAAGGTTATGTGAACTGTGTCTTTGGGGTAAAATGGGTGACAGGTACATGGGAACTCTACTGTTTTTGCAACTTGCATGTAAATCTGAAATTATTTTACAGTAAAAGGACTTTTTCAAAAATATGCACCCAATATTTGAAGAATTTGTGATACCATGTAGGTCTCTGGAGACAGAGCCCATTCTATAAGGTGTAAGTGGCCATTGACCTCTGTCTGCAGGACGTTCGTGCCCTCTGAGGTGCACTCGGGGAGAAATCAGGGCCTGTCGACACAGCATTCTTGGCGCCCCAGGTTCACGGCACTCTTGCATCCCCTTCCATCTACCAGGGCTTCTCCCTCAGACCACAGGGTCCTTCTCCCTCTTCAGTCTGAATCTCTTCATCATCGTCATCACCTAGAAGACCTTATGGTCCCCCTTTGCAGCAGTAACCCCCGAGTGCCAGACATAGTGCCCAGCATCGTCTCATCCCGCCTAATCTTCACTGTCTCTGCTTTTTAGATGAGGAAACTGAGGCTTGGGGGGGTGGGGCAAGGGACTTGCCAAGGTCCCAAAGCCGGCCGTGGTTTGGATTCAAGGGCAGGTCTGATGACACCCCCAGTTGGGTTCCCATGCCCCCCTACTGGCCACCTCAGCTGCCACCTGCAGGCTGGCATGTGGCAGCAGGTGCGAGACAAGCCGGTGGGGACAGGGCGCTAATTCAAGGCTGCCAGAGGAGCAGCTGTTCTCCGAATCCCGGCGGCCTGGGGCCATGCTGCTCTTATGTTCCCCGGTAGATAAAGTGATCCACTTAGGAGAAACTCTCTCCAGGCTGCGGGGCCATTAGCTCGCTGACTCCTGGAAAAACCATTTGGCCAGTGCTGACAGATATGGCCATTACACGGTCATTCAGCCTCTCTCGCTGTCCCATCCAGACCTTGGGAGAGGGAGGGGCCACGAGGCAGGCAAAGCTCAGGGGAGGGTCCTTGAGATTCACTTCCTGGCCACCGGCTTCCTCTCGGCCCTTAGGCTGCATCTTGCCAGGCCCGAGTTGCTGCAGCAAAAGGCAGCTTCAGGCAGCATGATTTCAATGTGCTGCCAATGACCTTGTTCTCCTGAAAGTTGTTCACAAACTGCCTTCACATGTATGGTTTCCCTTGACCCGCACACACCCTATGGAACTGAAATTAGGATTATTATCTCCACTACACAGAAAAAGAAACTAGGCACAGAGAGGCTAGGCAGCTTGTGCAATGTCACACAGCCAATAGTGTCGCCTGCCCCACACACTGCTATGACCCCACTGGGGTGTTACCTGTATGGGGAGCTCAGCCTCAAAGCAGAGTCTCCAGAGCCAGGGGTAGGGCAAGGGCCGTTCCTCTCTGCCAAGTGGAGGATGAGGCTGCCAGAGGACGTAGCCGTGACCCCTAGGAGCACCTGCCCCATTGGCACAGCCCAAGCAGCCCTTGACCTGGTGGGTCCCCAGCTTAGGTCAATTATCCCACACCTCCCACGCCCTCTGGATCCTTTGCTGAAGCTGGACGAATGCCCCAGGCAAGGCTTCACAGCCATTCTACAGCTGGCAAACCTCCTCTGCCCGCCAGCAGCACGGGCATCTCAGGATAGGGGTTGCCATGACATCTGGGGCACCCAGCTGATCCAGGCCAGAGTCCACAGCCACAGCCCCAGCACTGACCACGTGCCCGGGTCCCTGCCACAGTTCTGGAGCCCAGATGCACCCAGCAGAGTCCGGGGAACTAGCAGCAGGTGCCCAAGCCCTAAGGAAGATCACTAAAGCACAAGAGCCCACCTCCTGCACAGAGCCAGGCTCGGAAAAGAAGGTGTTTTGCCCAGCAGGGGCCAACCTTCCAGCTCAGAAGCCTGAGAGCAGATGGCGGACAGCAGCAGGAAGAGTAGGCTCAACGCCGAGGCCCAGCCTCCAAAGCCCTATCCTACAGAATGTAAAGACCGTAGATGCTTCTAGGGTACCCAGACGATGCTACCCTCCACCAAGATGCCTTGCTTTGTTTTGAGGCAGCTCAGAAAAAGGTGGGTTAAAAGTCCACGTCCAGGGAAGAGGCAGCCCCTTCCTGGTGGGTTTAGGGATAGATTCTGGATCTTGCTCTAGGACCGAGGGAGCATCTGGGCCTGGCTTGGCCAGGAGATCAGCTCAAGCTAGGGGACAGGATGTAGCCGTTTCTCTTAAACACAAAGACTGGAGATCCCTTGGGCCTGCCAGCCAGGCCTCAGCTCACTGTCCACCTCGGACAGCACTGAGTGGTGGTAGGGCCCCGGGGGGCCCAGATTCAGAGTTCAGAGCTTTGTTGTCATTGCGAGGGGGGTTTAGACATGGTCAGGCATCTGGGGATGGCTCAAGAGGACACCTGGAGTGTTCCACAGCCCTGGCATCCATTCATAACCAGGATGCTTGGCCAAGTCCTGGAAAGAAAATCACCAAACACTGAGTTCTCTGAAGCCTGGCTGTGTCCAAGACTGGCCCAGAAATGGAGCTGTGTTATCATTTAAGTGAATATTGTACGTCTCTGAGAGCCTCTGTCTCGTCCTTGGGTTTAACCTGCCTCCCCTGGGCTTGTTTCTGTCACACCGGTGTGCTTCTGTTCCTCCAGTGTGGTCTCCCAGGAGTGGGCATAGCTCGGATCACATACCCCGTGTCTGAGAATGGTGTCCCCTTCCCAGGGCGTGGCTGGGCAGCCACAATTAGCCACACCTGATAGGGCCTGGGGTGGATGCCTGGCCCCAGCCGGGTCAAGCCGATTCATTCTCTCAGGAGTCTAGCAGGGGCTCCACAACTACAGTGAACCTCTGCCTGGGGGCCGACCTGGCTGAGTGTGATAAAGCAAAGTGGGCAGAGCTGCAGGGGGACAACAGAGAGAAGCAGAGAGGAGGGAGGGTCTGATGGGCCCTGGCCCACAGCGCCTTTCCCACTAGAGTCCCAGGACTAGAGCCTCAGCCATCCTGAGCTACATGACATCCCCTGAATCCTTTCCACCAAGTCACTTTTTTTTTTAATGTTTATTTGTTTTTAAGAGAGAGAGAGCGCGCATGCACAAGCCAGGGAGGGGCAGAGAGAGGGAAAGAAAGAATCCCAAGCAGGCTCTGTGCCATCAGCGCAGAGCCCGACGTGGGGCTCAATCCCACGAACCTCAAGACCATGACCTGAGCTGAAATCAAGAGTCAGATGCTTAACCGATTGAGCCACCCAGGTGCCCCCACAAAGTCACTTTTTGGCTTACACTGGCTTCAGTGGTTCCTATTACTTGCAAGTGAAAGCCTTCACTAAGACATTCTCTCTTCCTCACCCCCGCCCCTACCCCCTATATCTGCCTTCCGGCACCACAGCCCGCCACACACCTGCCTTCTGGCGCCACAGCCTCCCACGCCAGAGCTCAGGACCCAAGACCCTGCTGGCGAGACGCCAGGCTCTCAGGCGTGCAGAGGGATTGGGGATTGCCACGCCCACCTCCTGAGCAAACTGTGTGGGCCGTGGGAGGGTAAGACCCCCAGGAGAAGGCATGTCCTCGGGCTCAGAGAGCCAACCCACCCTGTTTCCTTCTTGAGACCATGAGCTTTTTGCCTGAAAACGCTCTTCAAGCCCTTGAGATGCGTAGGGCTTGGTGGCACAAGAGCTAGCATTTATACCGCACGTTCTAGCAAGTAATTCATGTAATCTTCAAAGAATGCTCTGGGGCTGGTGCCATTATCATCCCCACTTTACATACAGGAGAA